AAAATGCAAATTTAGAATGCATGTTTAGTTTAGAACTATTAAAACTGACATTGCATTGTGTAACGAATATTTTGACTTTTTATAAATTTCCGTAATAGTCACTATTATCGTTTAAAATAAATAACAAGTTTACAGCAATATGAGCTTCTGCTTTTTTGTGTTACAAACACGCAAACCATGCTACGCGAGAATAAATATTCATTTATTAAGTTGGGTTTTGCGTCTTCGTCGCAAAAAGCAAAAAATGATATCACTCGGGCCAAGACAATAGTCTATTTTATTAAATTCACATATAAATTGGACAGCCGTCAACTTTTTTTTGTTTTTTTTTTTTCGTAGAGAAATTCCCCTAACAGTCACAGGACATTGCAAAACATAGTAAAATTTGGATGATCTGCATCATAGTAAATTCGAATTTACATAGTAAAATTTTGTAATCGAATGTCTTCACACCCTCATTTGATACCCTTGCTGTATAGCAACCACCACCAAATTCGAGATATAATTTCTTTATCATATGTATCTACTTTATGAAAAATCTTAAAGCGGGTTGTTAATAAAACCGAAAATAATCTGACCCTCAAAGTCAAATTTTGCCTTTATTTTCATATGCGTGAAATTTTGTTTCACGCGTCCAATTGCAAGTATAAGCAGAAATAAATGTCCAAATATTACATTATTATGAATATTTACAGATTTTTGATCACTTAGGTATGTCTTTTATAGTAAAATCATTTATTTTAAAAGTAAATATAATAAATAAATAGATTTTAAAATTTTTCTTTACCTATATACATAAATAATGATTAGAATAATAAACAAGCAACAATGATGATTAAATTAAAAGGTGTTTTATCTCTGACTTTATTCATTTAATTATATCATAATGATGTTATTAAATATAAGTAAAAATAAAAGAGAAATTTATATACATAAATAAATAATAAACATAACTATTGAGTGATTGATAAAACGTTTTGTTAGTATATTTTTGTTCACAAATCTTGTCCTTAATGCTTACTTCGATTACACCTACACAAAATATTGAATAATTGATAAAAAGTTCGCTAGTATGTTTTGTTCATAAATCTGCTACTGATATCTCCACATTTTTTTATCCTTGTCTTCTTTCAAAAAGCATTGTACATTTGGCGTGAAATCTTAAACATCATAACTTCATAACCTCTTCAGAAAATGTCATTGCCAACAGCTAGGATTCTTCAGACCATTGATGTGTATGTCGAGTTTGATTGCTTGGTAAACTACTAACTAATAGATAATATAATTAATTCATTGAAATATTATCATTAGTGATTACTTGCAGCAAAAAACCTACTTTAATTTTGGCATCAAAAAAAAAGATCACACGAACGAATATACACAACCTTTAATTATAAAACATCTTGAATTCTAAATAACTGAATTCTCTCATTTAGCTGAAACACCACCTCGCCAGAGACTGTTTCATTAGTTTTGTGGCGATTTTTACCAATCTGATCATGAATAAAATTGATGACATTTTTGACGATGATAAAATAATAAAATATTACATTTATTGTCATTTGGTGCTAGTATTTATAACTTGAATCAACAATAAAGTAGATTTACAATCAACATCACGAGAAATTAAATTAAATGCAGCTATGATCAACCAAATTTGATTAGCTTTAATTATGCAAACACTTTATTCTACCACTTTGGTATTATTAATTTATTGTGATCTACCAAATTAATATTAAATCCAATATTCAAATTTTTATCATATGTATACGTGCAAACACATGCACAAATGAGCAAAAAAAAAAGTGGTTTAGTTTTTTATTTTTTTTTTGTACAGTGTGTTACAAAAAAAATTGGAAATTTTTAAATGAACATTGTGAAACAACTACTGTATTAGTTCGCGTGAAAAATGGCTCATTTGATAGTTTAAAATAATAATTTTTATTGATAAGATTTTAATAAGAAATCCTTTCGCCATTATTTTCAATGACCAGTTCACATCTCGATTTCATTGAATGAATTAAACTAA